GGCATCTTCGTTCTTCATTTGTTTCGACTCCTCATTTTACCCCGTTTAACGTTTAGTGGAACTGCATCCATCAGGTCCATATTATTTAGGTCTATCTCCCGTCGGGCCGCACTTTCAACTGCCTCCGTTTCCACGTACTTTCCCTGAAAGGCCACCACCTCTGCGGGGTTGGCGCATTTGCTATACCCTTCTAACAACTCGGCATTTACATCAAAAAAGCTATCTCCCCACGAAAAATACGACAAGACGCACCTTGCGTCCTCCATGCGGCCAGCAATGGCAAGAGCCCCTGCCAATGCCTCCGCACAGTTCAGCTTTGATGGCCGACCGTAATTGACGGGATTGGCGGCAATTAACAGCGGCAACAATCGTGGAGCACCCATCTTCATCTGCCGCCATGGCACTGCGTGTAGCTGCTTCCATGAACAGTCTACCACCGCAGCACCAAACTGGGCAATGATATCCACATCGGCAGGGCTCATGAACTCTGTGGCTGTGGGTGTAAGAACAACCCCATGAAAGGGTTCCCGCAGCTTTAAAAGACGCAGTGCATTTTGACGATATAGACGCCGACCAGAGCAGGCATCAGGATCGCACTGCTCAAAGTCCCACATCGCCAACGGCACGCTACAGGGATTTGTACATGGCTCGCGGCTGCAAAATCCGCCTCGTTGTGCACCTTTCCAGCCCTTCTGCCCTTCATCTCTGCGAGGGTGGCCTTTTGTCTTTCCCATGCGTGTATGCACTCTCCTAAAAAAAAAAATACTACAACCAATACGTATATCAGAGAAATAAAGCCAACAGAAATTATTAAGAAGATTCAAAAGAGATTGGTGGCATAAAGAGTAAAGGGGAAAAAAAGCATTTGTTTAAACCTAAGTAATAAAGCACAACTATTTCAATCTTCTCCGCCTGTTTAGTGTGGGTGCAAGAAAAATTGTATGATACGCTGAGAAGTTTCATAAAGTGTTCTCCTTAGAACGAGGGTAATCAGAAATCCGCCAATTATTCATCAGACCACACCGTTATATATATATATATATATTACGGTTGTGAGAATTCAGCTCCATTGTCAACCACTCCTCATCGAACGTAAAAAAGAGTGACTTCCATTCAAATGTTTATACGATTACGTGACACAAATCATCAGATGTCCAATCAAAAGCAGCAGCGGAACCAAAAATAAAGCAAAAAACACTTCATTAATACCTTCGATTGATTCGCTTCAACCCCTTCCTCGCTGCCGGTAACGCAGCATTGTCCCCGTTATTCTCCGCCCTCTCCATATTTACAGAAGCATTCACGGCTTCCTTCTCTTTTTGCTCGTTTGGAGACAACACCGCCTGCTCCTTAGCCGCCGACTCTTTGCGCTCACGTTTCATTTCACCCATTGTGAGATTCTCCTTCGCCTCGCCAAATATGTCCTCCGCATTGCGCTCCGCACGACTGCGCTTGGAACGCATGCGTTTCGCGAGGTACTCATCCCTTTCCTTCTCTAGGCGGAGAAGGTGCTCCACATACTTCTGGCGCTTCACGCGATGCTTCTTCGCCATTCCTGCGGCGGATACGACAATAGAGCAACGGCCCTCCGGCTAAAGTTTAGGTTTCCTCCTTTTCTTCCGGCCCCTTTTGTGTAACACCATAGTTAAAAGAAAAAAAAAAACATAGAGACTTCACCGCAAAAACCCGTGGTAGCGGCAACATGATTAGTAAAAGTGACAGTAACAGGAACAGATTTAAAGAAGACTGGAGTCCAACATTTACAAAGAAACGGATCAAAGGCAAAGGCAAAGGCACAGACACAATGTCGTTATCCTACATCGGCTCACAACACTTTACATGAGATGCACTAGGCGTAGTCTAATTACATAAGGCACATTCATGAGCAAATTAGTGGCGAGTTCGTTTCTCTCACCGTGTCCTACTCTCCCCTGATAAACAGCCAACAACACACACACACACAATAAAAAAAGGGGGAAAAGTTGCGCCTTTCGCCCTTTCCTTTTTTTTTTTTAATTCATTTCTCAGCCATTAAATGCCCACTACATTTCAGTGCCCTTCACCACCACCAAGCAATTTGTCTCATAGGAAGAATTCATCGTCCTGGTCCGATTCTTTCTCTGTCTCGGGGCCTTGTTTCACTTCCTTGCCCCGCACTGTCTCAACCGGGGGATGAGAACGCCACATAACCGGCTTCCCACGTCGCCGCACAACGGGTGCCTGTGAACGTTGAAGAGCTCGCTTGTTGCGCTCCTCTCTTTCTGTTGACTGCCGTTCCAATTGAATCACTCGAGCCCGGTGACGGCGTTCCTTGTCTCGCATCTTGATGACACTCATAATGAGAGACTGTTCTATGCCGTTTTCGGGGTTGTTGATATAGTGTATGTACTCGTCTATCTTGGTTTCAATGATAGTAAGCATCTCCACAGGCCACATGTTGGCGCTGGCCTCACCGTCACTCTGTCCTTCAACCCCTCCTCCACCAGGTGCTGTTTCAGAGATATTCCGGTCCTTCTTCTTGCCTTTGGCTTTGGGAGAAAGCGCAGCCTGAGAGCTTCTACTACGTGCACTGAGTGGTTTTTGTCTCACTGCACTCCGCATTTTATCCTCAAGTCCCTCGCCATCTTCGGGGCGACGCGGAGAAACCGAATGCTGAGTAATGCATCGAAATATATCTGTCACAGCACGCTCAATGAGCTTTTTTAGTACCTCTTGCCTCATCACAGGTTCAGCTTTATTCCTCCTGGAAGAGACAATGTCCTTCTTACCGCGTGCAGCTTCAAGCCCCGCGTCAGCGCCGTCCTCAGTGTTCTCCAAATCCGCTAAGCGCTCCTCTAGTTGTTTCAAACGTTCCTGTGCCTCCTTGATCCTTGTCGCCAGCGACTCCATCTGCGCATGTCGCTGCCGCATCATAGTGGTCATTTCTTCCTGCTCATGAAAATATTCCATGGCGACACGCTCCAGCTCTTCCTCTAGTTCTTGACTGTTTTGAATAAGAAACAAGTTACCCTCTTCGACGTTAATAAAAATGTCGAGTATCTGATCCGGTTCTGTAAAGTACATTGGGATGCGCTCCTGTGGGTACTCTTTGTCCAGCACTGCACGTACTTCCTCTACAGAAAGTGCCTCCACCTCTTTTTTAATAGATTCGGTTGCCTCCACCTGTCGCTTCTGTGCTTCGGCCTCAAGTTCTTGGTGTAATTTCTCCAGTTGGGCTTCAATTGGCACCTGCTCCCCCTCCTCTTCTTCCAATGACCCATCGTTTTTTTCGTCGTTGTGCCTCTCTTCCCGAAGACCACCTCGTTTCTGACGTTCAGCAAAAACCACTGGCTGGTGAGATTCACGTCGAGCCTCAGCCTTTTGCATCGCCACCATTAGTTCCTCTGCCCGGCGTGTGTACTCCGCCTCGGCCTCGCGCAAAATCACTTCACTGGCATCGTTCACACGAAGACTACAGAGAACATCGTAGAACCACTGGGGTACCGTGATGCTGTCCATAAACTCCTTATACTCCTTACACAGCTCCAACTGGATTTCTGTCTTGCGCATGTCTTGTTCCATATGACTAATTTGTGCTGAGAGCTTTTTGATGTCGATAAGACGCTCCAACTTGGCTTTGCTCTCAATCTCTGCTCGTCTTACGGCAGCATCCTGTTCCAAATTGCTATGTTTAAGAAAATTGTTAAATTTCTCCTCTGTGCTGGCAAGCTGCTCCTGCTGTTGACGAACCCGCTTCTCCGCACGATCCATTTCCTCCTCCAAATGACGGATCTCAGCCTCCTTGTTTGCAAGATCAAGCCGCATGAGACCCACTTCCCGTTTCTTGGCGATAAATGTTTCCCTGCTGTGAGTCTCCTTAATTTCTACCGTTCGCGGGCCACGCCCGATGCGACGCACCAAAGGAGACTTTAAAACACCTCCGCGAATAGAAATCTTCTCCGTTTCCGTATTCCTTGTTCTGCTCGCCGTGAAAGTGCCTTGAGTTCATTCACCATCATGGCATCATCACTCTTGATAGCTTCGGCAATTGTCTGTGTGTTGCCCGGTTCATTTCCCGGCACAGGGAGGTCATCGCTTTTCTCCCTGAATGGGTTGTTTGACGACAGTGCCGTGCCCCGTTGCATTGCCTCCCCCCGCCCAAAACGTAAAGAGAAAAAGAATGTGCCACCTAAACCTTTTCTTCGCTTATTTCCGTTATTGTTTCTTCCTTCTCAGCCAACCCGGCTCCTCCTTGTTCTCCGAAATTGCCGTCGCTGTTGCTGCCACCGTCTCCCCTTATTTATGTCAATGAAGCTCACTGGCGTAAAAAGCTGAAAAATAATAAAAAATAAAAGAAAAAAAAAGAATGCGTGACAAAGTAGAGGCACTTGATAGCGCCGAAACGGCACGCATTGAGGGTGTAGAATACAAGCAAAAAGAAGTTAAAAAAAAAAAAAAAAACATGAAACACGGCACTCCCTCAACCAATGACACATGCAAACTGAGAGAAGAAATGAGAAACAAGGGAAAGAAGGATTTCCGTCCCTCTCCCCCGCCCCCTTCTTCCTTGCGGTTGAAAATCCCCCTACCAACCATCCCCACCCTCCACTTCCTAGCCGATAAACCTTCAGATAAATATATATATATATATATAGCACCTCCTGTGTCGAGGCTCAACCCGGCAAGTTGGTGAGGAATGTGTCGAGGAAAGAAAGCACGCCTCATCCTCCCGCCTTGAGAAGCAATCCCACTCTCAACTCCAACCAGAATCAACACATGCACACATGTGCCTACTCCGCACAATCACAGTGTCGCCCCAAGAGTGCGTTCACCACGTACATATTCCCACTTTATACCCTCGTGTTGCTTTTTCTATGAAGGCCACTCCTCCCTCTCCACGTTTCCTCGCTTCACCTTCTGTGTTGTTGTTTCTCCATGTCCATTCCACTGGTGCTTGCTTCACTCCATTCAGGAAGGTGGCGAGCACAGCGGGGGCGTCCGGTTCTTCTGTGGTGGCTGCTGTGATTGCTGTTGCCGCTGTTGTCGTTTTACTTCGTAGTCCGCGGAGTCGAAAAACTGTTTCTCCTGCGGTTGCTGCACGCCACGAAGACGTGGATCACGTTTCTTCGGCATATTAACGCCCGGAGGCGCCCCGCTAGTGGACATTTTTTTTTTGTTATTGTTGTTTTTGTGCGTTTTTCTGCGCCTAAAGTCCCCAGCAATGACAGTTCAAAACGAGATAACTCTGTATTGCACTGATACCCACACGCACACACACAGAGAGAGAGAGAGAGAGAGAAAGGGAGAAAAAAAAAAGGATACAAGAGATAGAGAAGAAAGTACAGCCGGGCAGAGTTAACAACAACAACAACAAAAATAATAATAATAATAATAATTTCCGCAGATTCCGCATAGAAGGGAAATTATGACTGCCTCTACTGACAAAACTCCACTTTTTCTCAGACGATATCACCAACAGTAATCACACATGTTCGTCTTTGGCACACACGCACTCCCGCACCGTCTCTCTCTCTTTTTTTTTTTTTTTTTTTTTCATTCGTTCATCCACAAATATTTGTTCTCTCGCTCTCACTTTCACTCTCACTCTCACTCTCGCTTTCTCACTTTCTTTTCATACATGTTTTACTTTAGTTTTCTTCCCCAAAAGAAGGAAAAGAGAAAAGAGAAATGCAACTCCGGTGTTGGCAGCAACCACTGAAGCAATAAAAATAATACCGAGTCCATTCAAACACCTGAAATCAACACAAAAAAAAAAAAAAGAAAAAAAGAAGGATTTTTAGATATCATTTCAAACATCTCTCTCAGGGCAAATTGGCTCGCACAACTGACGCTCGTCCATTGCCATTTCAACGGATCCTCTCTTCCTTACGGCGCAAGTTGTCGCGTTTCCCGTTCAAAAAAAAAAAAAAAAAAAAACAAGGAAAAAGACAAATGTGGAAAAAGGGAAAAAAAAAAAAAAGGAAAAAAAGAAAAAAAAAGGGGAAAAATATTAACGGTGGGCAGCTACAAATCAATGCCAATTGATTCCAGTCCGCCCTCGTCGTCATCGTCTCCTTCCTCGCTGTCGCTGGAAGAAAAAGTACTTTTGGAAACCGAGAACCACGGCTGTGGGTCTTTTTCACCGTGCACCACTTCCTTCGCAACGATGGGTTCTTCACTTTTTCCGCCAATCTTTTTAATCGCTTCTTCCCGCCGCCTGGATATGCTCTCCTGCCACTTCTCGTAACGCTGAATGCGGCCCAGCTCCGCAGCAATGCTCGCTTCTGTCCCAATGCACACAGCTGTGACCAACGCCTCAATTTTTGGCAGTGGCGTCTTCACTGAACTCCTATTAACATCATTGCCGCCACAGAGACGTAGTTCCAACTCCGCCAGCTCACGCACCTCACGCACGACATTCATCATGGCTTCCTCCTCCTCGTCCATCAAACGCGTGCAAAAATCCCGAACAGCTGTTTTAGAGATGACTTTTAGTGCATCAGAGTCCTGCACACTGTAGTGTTGAGCATAGGGGAAATCCGTGTTCCCAGACTGATACACGCGAATACGCCGGTCGATATCCAAATGCAGGACGTAGTTCTCTTCAAGAGCAACACTGCATATTTTTTCCAAAACCTCCACTGCACGCAACTCGCTTGTCGCATACAAGTTACGCTGAAGCTTGTTCTCCTTATTTAAACGATGCGTGGCAAGGAAGCTAGCACCACCTCTACCGTCATACTCGAGAGAAGCATTCATCCGCTCCCCCAGGTATCCAGCAAAGGCAAGGCACGCGGAGCAATCCAGGTAGGCGTAGGACGGTCCATGAATAAGAAATCGTGGATCCTTCAAAATGGCCGCGGAAGCTGACATAACGTCAGTCAGAGTAAAGAGAAAAATGACAAAAGGCATAAACTTTTGATTAAGGAAAGAAAAGAGTAAAAAGAAAAACCACATGGCTCCAAGCTTTTCCAAAATTTCTCCTTTTATTGTGTTTTCTTTTGTTTTTGTTTTTTGTTTTATTTTTGTGCTGCTCTCTGCAGACGCCCATCCAAAAAGGGGATAATACAAGAAAAAAATGGCAAAAAAAAAAGAAAAAGAGGTACGGTGTTTAAAGCAAAGTTCACACAAATTCATGCCTCTCAAAGAAATAAAATAAAGACATACAGAGATACATGCAAACATGCATTTTTATACATATATGCGTATACATATACCTCACACCGCGGGTGCCACACGTTTCTCTCCACCCATAAAACCAGCGGAAATAATGGAACATTATTTCCTTCTTTTCCCCTTCTTTTCTTTTTCCCCCGCCTCATACATATATATATATGTTTTTGTTTTTTTGAGGAGTGTCTTTTCCTTCACAGCAGCCGCGCCCCCCTCTAAGCGGCGCAGAGTCTTACATGAGCCAGTAAAGTACGCATGGCATCCCTTGAAATGAGTCTTTTTCTTCTTCTTCCTCAGCTGAGATCGTTGTCCGCCTCCGGAATTTCTCAAGCAGTGGTCGAGGCATGCTCCTGTTTTTCTTCACCCTCTTCTCCACGCTCCTCACTATGAACAAAGATCCAGTAATTTTCATCTGTCAATGGGCCCTTAAGACTCCTTGTAAACTTATTGCAGCAGACCTCATACTCCGGTCCAAAGTCGTTGTAAAAGACTGCCTTTGTGCTTGCCAGTGGGACATTGGTGTGGTTGTGGCGGATCACCAAGACGGCGTCCCCTTTCACAGGCCTGTCACGCATGTCCTCACAATACTCGGGGTTCGAGAAATCCGCCACCCACATCGTCTCCGCGGAGTTGCCGTCCGGTGAAAAAAACACATCTTGATACTTTCCTGTCACCTTTGACGCGCTATGAGGCCCTTTGTGCTCTGAGGCAAGCGAAAGCGGGTTATCACACAGCTCTGGCACGGTCATAATAAAAAACGGCTGCCCGTAGTGCACCACGTCCTCCTCCTCGGGTGGTGGAGCAATCATATCTGTGGGGCCGGTAGGCGCCGGGGCCAATAAAAAACAATTGCGCAAAGTCGGACCGCTGGCTGGTGCTGTGGAACAGACAACACGCCACCCTGTGGGTTTTAGCGCGCGATCCTCTAAGTCAAGCGAAATAAAGCCAAGTGTTTCAGCATTTTGTAGCATTACTGGAGTGTAAAAGTGTAGAAAGCCGTCGTCATGCATGGGGGACAAGTGATATGGCGTGTTGTGGTGCTTCACCTTGGCCAATATGAGCTGCGTCTCACGTGCGGCATCCACGACGCCACCATTACGACCCTCCATGAGGCGTCTGCGATCCCGCATGTACGCCTCCTCCTCAAACCAGTTGCCCAGCAGAACTCTCCTGGGCATTTTTTCTCGCTGCTTCTTTTCCCGCTCCTTTTTCCTCCCTCTCTCTCTCTATTCTTCTTCTCTTCCCCCCCGTGGCTGACCGCTCCGCTCGTTTGACTGAACACACACGTATTCCCCTCTTTTCTTGCTTGTTTCTTATGCCGTTCCCTGGCCTACGCGCCCCTTTCCCGGTAGTTGTGCGCCTCCCTGTCGGCGTGTGCAGATGACACGATGAACGGGGGTGAATCCGTCCACAGCTCTGGTGCGTGTGTGCGCGCAGGCCGCCAACAAAAAAAAAAAAAAAAAGAAACGGAGAAATGCTGTTTTTATACACGACAGAAGCAAAAATAATAATAATAATAATAACCAACATGAAAACAAAACAAAACAAAACAAAAAAAGAAATGGTGGTGAGTGTATGACATGCATTGGAGGTTAATAATAATAAGCCGCACGCGTGTGTGCGCTCTTTTACGCCGCATCACATGCATTCAGCGCTGCAATGCGATCAAAGTACTGTACCATAAAAGATGTAGTCACACGCATACGAAAAATATGGAAGAACACAAAATTCAGTGGAATACAAAAAAAAAAAAAAAAAAAAAAAAAACTGCTGTCGCCCAAAGAAATCCACGTGCCCCCTGCCCCCCTCTCCACTCCTGGTCCGCCCATTCCCAGCCAAGCCATCATTCTGTTTCCAACATCTTCTTCTGCTTCCTCATTCATTCAAGGGAATGTACGGAAGTAAACCGAAGATGCACATATTTATATATACATGAGGAGATGAATGTTGTGTAACAAAATGTAAATAAAGAGAGAGAGAGAGAGAGGGCTTACTGTACAGCTGATGGGAAAATAACTAGTTTTTCTCTTTTTCTTCATTGCTTTGGTCTCACCAAATTGTTTGCCCCTTCCTCCTTCTACAATTCGTTGTGCCTACAAAGGAAATTTTAATAATGCACGGAATAAATTCAAAAATTCCGCCACGCATATCTTCTCATCACTCCCTCCCTCCCTTCCTTCATGCCCCCCTATACCACTCTTCGCTTATTGAAGATGCGCTTTAGGTACCACACATTGCCCGCACCCATGAACGCAATAATTAATATTTCTATCGCTGACCAGACAACAACACGCGTGTTTGCCACCTCCGTTGTCGCGCGGTGCACACGCTCACGACCCCTGAGATACCGCTGCACCTCCTGCACCTCACGCAGTCCTTGCTGAATACGCATGAGGGATCGTTCTAACGGATCCGGTCCTGTATTCGGCTTGCCATTATTCCTCTCCATCCCCGAGTCCCCAACTGTTATGGAGAACGCCACCACTTTCTGGGTGATGGTACTCATCTTGTTAGAAAAGCAAAAGCGGTGGCGACCGGGCGTGCGTGTCTTGAAGAGCACACGTCCCTCCGTCTCGCGGAGGGCGTCCCAGATATGACTGTTGTCCGGCCCATAGATGACAGCGTCGATGTCAAGCACGCCACCAAATGTCACCATGTAGTGAAGAAACACCTTCACTCCAACGCCATGAATGTCCTCCACAAAGCACTCCTCTTTGTTCGCAGGCACCATAATAGACACGGCACCATCATCTGCACGAGTCGGCGTCATCACACAGCTGAGCAGCAGAAGCAAAAAGCAAAGCCCGTGTCTGCGAAGCGTGGGAAGTGCGGGGTGCGGAATGCCTCTCATGTGTCCGAATGTTCCTTTGCGTTCCGAGAGAAATGGTCAAAACGGCTCCGTTCACTAATTGCAGCCTATTCCTTTGGTCTGTCTGCGTGTGTGTGTGTGTGTTGTTCTCTTTTTTTTACTTTTCTTCTCTTTTTTTTTTTTTCCTTTTTTACCGCACTATTACTATTACTATTATTTATTGTGGACACGTGTGCTTGCGTGTGTTTTCAACTGTGCGTCAAAAAAGAAAAAAAAAGGCAAAAACGAAAGCAGTTGCGACAACAACAACAAAAAAATCCGTAAAACATTCCACGTGCACATATGCGGGCAGACCACCAACCTGCCGTCCCCCTTTTCCCCCCGCCTCTCACTAAAAAATGTTTGTTTAGAAAAAAGGAAAAAAAAAAAAGGTGGGGGGCAGGGCTGTTCTCCGCGTTCCTCCGCTCTTCGCATGAATGTCCGCGGCTCTCGGTGTGGACTGCACCGCCACAATGAAACACACAAAAGGACAAAAGCCCAAGGCCAATGCACATGCACAGAAAGTAAGAAATTCACGGACAGGGAGAAAGCAAAAAGAAACAAAACAAAAAATAAATAAATAAATAAGATCCCAACCGCTGCTGACATACTCATACGTGGATATATATATATATACTTATAAATACATATGTGTATATTCTTCCTGGAAACCCATTCCATCGTGAAGACACGTGTCGCCATTACCACCATCATTTAATCTCCTTTCCCCTCTCATCTGGTTCCCCGCTTTTTCCCCTCTCCTCCCTTCGCGCCCCAAACACAGACACGCAGGGATCCGCAGATTAGAATCCACGTGCACACTTACATGCACACAACGTCTAGCCTTCTACCTTCGTAACGCCATACCACCTTCAATTCCATTACAGAGGGCTGCAGCAGAACGACAACTGTTGTTGTCGTTGTTTCTTCTCGCGTCACTTCTCGTAGGTTCGTGGGGCGCGGGTGAGGCAGAAGCAAAAATATACTCACGCACGCACGCAAACACACACACACACAAAAAAAAAAAAAAGAAGCGTCAAAAGTAACCGGAAGAACGTCAGCTTTCAATAGCGTGCAAACTATACCCCCGCCTCCAGAATACAGGAGAAAGAGAAAAACAAAAGGGTACTTCGCGTGTCTCCCTCCATCCTCTCAGGAGGGCGGTGCCACGCCATGTCAAAAAAAAAAAAAAAGACTCGCGCCCATCCCCTTTTATTTTCCTTTACTTCTTCTGTTAATTCCCGCGGGAATCGTTGCGGCGGTGTGAATTGCAGCGCCACCCACGGCCGTCCTCCTGCTGCCTCCTCCCCTCACGTCCTTCACTCCTCCCAACCCACCAACCGACGCCCCACAACTTTATTTCTCCCCTTCTTTTCTTCTCTGCGCGGCCTCACACACACACACACACTTTCAGTCGCATTTGCAAAAAAACATCGTTGTTTCCATTCTTTTTTTTTTTTGTTTGTTTGCTTTTATTCTGCTCGTCTCCTTATATGTAATCCTTGCTCCAACACCACCGCCCACTGCCCCCTTCTTGGACACATACACACAGAGAGAGAGAGAGAGACGCAGTCACAAAGGGAAAAAAGTGAGAATGAAGGGAACAGTGTCTCAGTGTGAGTCCAAACAAAAAGCCCCGCTTTATTCACACGTGTCTTTCCCTTTACGTACATACATAAATACAGATGCATAACTTTATATATTTATACCACTCGGCACATGTGCATTCTGTGTGTGCAGACATCGTCCGGCGCAAGAAAAAAAAAAAAAAAAAAAGAATGAAACCAAAAGAAACCAAAACCAACAAAAAAAACACACGCATGCCAAATGTAAAAAAGCACACATACACACGCAAAAGAAGACGATAGCAGTCAGCACCTTCTCCACATTTTCTGTATATACAAATATATATATATATATATATATATATATATGCATTCATGCCCTATATAATGTCGCTTTCATTGGATCCAAACACGCACAAAAGGAATGAAGTTGCTACATGAACAAATATGAAAAAGCATTTCGCCATTTTGTAAGCATAGACACAAAATGTTCGTCTCTACTAAACCGCACCTTTTTCCTTTTCTTTTTTCCTTCTTTTTTAAAACAAAAATGTCTCGTTTAACTCTTTCTTTTTTTTTTTTTTTTTTCCCTCTCCTTTCCTTTCATCTGCTTTGATACTACTTGAATGTGTTCAGCCATATTTTTTTTTCTCCCCCTTAATTTTTCTTCTTGTTTTTTTTTTTTGGTTTCTCCTCCGTTCTTTCATTTGGCCGTACGCTCAACAGCTATCTTCTTGCATGCGCGCATATGTACGACTGCGTATTGTTTGTCTGCCTTCCCTCTACCTCCCGGCACCCAGCTGCACCCTTCTTGCAGTCCCTCCTCCCCCACGCGTGAGCAGTGCGGAGCCGGACACAAACACTTCAAGTGTGCACATGTCACTTAAGTGAGAAGGAAAAACGGCGAATTTAAAAAAATTAGTCCGTCACGGAATGAATAAAACTATCAACAAGGGCATTGGTTGGAGCTGCCTCCTCGCGTCGCAGGAGTGACGGCCGCAGCCGCAGGCGAAGGCTTACCCGACACCACGGATAGGTCCACAACACCGCTCTGCACATTCTCGTAAATCATCATGGCGGTCTTCATAAAGGCGTCATCCACATTTTGCGCCGTCTTGGCGCTTGTCTCCATAAACACCAGGTTGTTCTTCCTGGCGAAACTCTCTCCCTCCTCCCGCGACACCTGTCGCTTGGCCTCTAAGTCACATTTGTTCCCAATTAACATAATAACAATGGCGGTATTGGCGTTCGCTTTCGCGTCCTCCAGCCACGTCTGAAGGTGTGTGAATGTCTCGCGACGTGTGAC